ACATGTTTGCGGTAAAGCTACAGAACATCGTGGCCGTCCTGAGGAACGTGCAGCCAGAGTACCTGCTTAACCCACTGCTGACCCGGGAAGTCTTAGACAAGATGCCAAGTTACCTTGTATCGAGTTGGTGCAACTTCGCCGAGTCACAGCCGGGCCCGAACGCCGATCTACTCAAACTTTCATCGTTCCTGATGAAAGAAGCTGACCGCTGCATGCGATACAACTATGTATCGAACCTCACCGCACCCTCCACATCGCAACGAACACGTGAAACGCCTCGCCCCGCCCCCAGACCGGAGGCAAAGAAGAAGACGGTGTACGTCGCCACCGAAGAAGCACCGCAGCGCAGATGCCTTTCGTGCCAGGAAGCCCACACACTACCTAGCTGCCCAAAGTTCAAGCAGCTAACGTATGATGACCGATGGGAGCTGGTGAAGAAGGAGGGGCTTTGCTTCAAATGCATCGTGGGCCGGCACCGTCGATTGAACTGCCGACAGAAGCTCTGCGGAATCAACGGATGCAAGCGACCGCATCACCGACTGTTGCACGCAGATGAGCGTGGAACGACGAACGACGTGGCTACGAGCGCGACCGACTCAAACGCGGCCGCAACGGAACCAGCCACCACCGAAACGACGACGGCTGCCACGACGACAAGCCGCGCCGTCAAATTGAAGATTTGCCCCGTGACAATCACGGGCAAACGTGGGAGCTGCGACACCTACGCGCTCTTCGACGAAGGCTCGACGGTCACCTTATTAGACGACGACCTGGCGCGACAGATCGGCGCCGACGGACCGACCGCACAGCTCAACGTCCGAGGAATAAACAAGAAGCAAAGTCACGTGCAGAGCCGTCGAGTGAAGATTGGAATAAAAGGAGCGCGCAGTGACCAGATCTTCAAAATCAACGCTCGCACCATGGTGGGCCTGGACCTCACGCCGCAATCGATACCAGCGGAGGCGATGAAGCTACGACACCTAAGAGATCTCGACGAGCGAGAAGTCGTATACAAGAATGCGAAACCTCGCATTTTGATCGGGACGGACAACTGGGAGCTCATAGTGACCCGCGAGCTACGGTCAGGAAAAACCAAAGAACCAGCTGCCTCCAAAACCGAACTCGGATGGGTAATCCACGGGACGGCGCCATCGAGATCGCTTCGCCGCACCGAGGATATCCTACATGTCGTCACGACCGAAGCATCAGACGACCGACTCGAAGAACTCGTGTCGAGACACTTCCGGATCGACTCACTCGGAGTGTCGCTCGACGCATCACACGTCCGCGAAGAGGACAAGCGTGCCGTCTCCACGTTCGAACGCACCGTGAAGCACAAGGACGGCAGATACGAAGTGGGCCTGCCTTGGCGAAACGACGACGCCAAACTGCCACGGAGTTACGACTCAGCACTCCGCCGGCTCACCAATCTAGAGAACAAGCTGAAGAAAGATCCACGCGACATGGAAGAATACCAGCTGAGGATCGACAACCTCGTGAAAAAGGGATACGCCGAACCCTGCGACGGCTCCGAGGACGCTAGCCCCGTCGCATGGTACCTGCCGCATTTCGCCGTCAAGAATCCCAATAAGCCCGGGAAGCTGCGACTGGTTTTCGACGCAGCAGCAAGAATTCGAGGTGTCAGCCTGAACGATCACCTACTCGAAGGGCCGGATCTGCTACGATCGCTGCAGACCATTTTGTTCCGGTTCCGAGAGGGCGCATACGCGGTGACAGCTGACATCGAGGAAATGTTCCTGCGGATCAAGATACGCCGCGAGGACCAACCCGCACAGATGTTCCTGTGGCGCGACTGCAGGCAGAATGAACCACCGCGCAAGCTGAAGATGACATCGATGATCTTCGGCGCATCGAGCTCACCGTTCCTCGCACACAGCGTGAGGGACCACAACGCGAGACAGCATGCTGAGACACACCCTGCAGCACTGCGCGCAATCACCGAAGCGCACTACATGGATGACTTCGTCGACAGCTTCAATGATCCGAGAGAGGCCCACGAAGTCATCACCCAAGTCGACGCAGTGCACCAGAAGGCTGGATTCCACCTGAGGGGGTGGAACAGTAACAACAGGAAGCTTCTACAAGCCGTGAGCCCGGATAGTAGAGCCAAAAGCGGGACTACGACGTTTGGAGACACAGAGAAGACATTGGGCCTGCTTTGGGATGCAAATACCGATCGGCTGGGCTTCAACACCGCCCTGCCTAGAGTCCCACTGCCAGTGAAGTCTCGACAACGCCCGCCGACGAAAAGAGAAGCATTATCGACGGTGATGAGCATATACGATCCGCTCGGACTGCTCAGCTGCTTCACAAACACAGCGAAGATAACTCTTCAAAAACTATGGCGCCTCAAGACCGGCTGGGACGACCCTCTACCATCCGACTTGAGCGAGGACTTCGATGCATGGTTGACAAGCCTGCCAGCAATCGACCAACTACGGCTACCCCGTAGTTACAACGGGGGGAGAGAAGTGCGTCGTCGTGAGCTTCATGTGTTCTGCGACGCCAGCGAAGAAGCCTACGCAACGGCGGCGTATTGGAGGTTGCACTACGGACCCGGCCATGTCATCGAGACAGTCCTGATAGCGGCAAGAGCTAAGGTCGCGCCCTTGAAGACCCACACCGTACCGCGCCTGGAACTTCAAGCGGCCCTCATCGGAACGCGACTAGCGAAAGCAATCAGAGAGGAACACCGTGTCAACGTCGACGACACCGTGTACTGGAGCGACTCTCAGACGGTGCTTCATTGGCTGCGGAATGGAAGCAAGCGCTACACTCCATTCGTCGCACACCGTCTGGGAGAAATAACTGAGTCATCCAGACCGCAAGACTGGCGATGGATACCGACGCATCTGAACGTAGCCGACGTCGCCACACGCGTCGGTTATACGCCAGCCAACGAAAACGACCTGTGGTTCACGGGACCATCCTTCTTGAAGTTACCAAGATCGGAATGGCCGAAGCAACCAACGAATCGCGAAGACGAGGAAACGATGGAAATAACGCACGTCATCACGCACACAACAGAGAGAAACGCGGCGTTACCGGAGATGGAAAGATTTTCGACGTTCGAGCGACTGATCGGCGCAACAGCACAAGCGCTACTCTTCGTGGAAAGATGCCGCGACAGAACGAGGACACTCAGCCGCGAACATTTCAACCGAGCGACAAATTTATGGCTGCAGCAGGCGCAACAAGACTCCTTCAGCCAAGAAATCGAGTGCCTGAAGAAAGGAGTCCCCGTAGCACGAACGAGCCCTCTGCACCGTTACGACCTCACTTGGGAGGACGGGCTTGTGAAACTAAACGGACGCATTAACAAGGCGGACGTACCGGAAACAGCGAAGAAGCCGGTATTATTGGACGGACGCCACGAACTCGCGAAGAAAATTATTGATCGAGAGCACAGACGAGCGGGACACTGCAACAACGAGCGAGTGGTCAACGACGTCAGGCAGCAGTACTGGATCCTGCGGCTGCGACCAACAGTTAAGAAAGTCGCAGCAGGCTGCCTTATGTGTCGACTACGAAGATCGAAGCCAAGGAGCCCGCCGACGGGGGATCTGCCCGCAGAACGTTTACAGCCCTTCAGACGTCCCTTTAGTCATTGTGGGATTGATTACTTCGGGCCAGTCACCATCAAAATTGGAAGACGAAGAGAGAAAAGATGGGTGGCGTTATTCACCTGTCTGACGATACGCGCCGTGCACCTGGAGCTGGTGGCATCACTCACCACTGACTCCGCAATCATGGCGCTGCGAAGAATGGCAGCACGACGAGGATGGCCCGCCGTAATATACAGCGACAACGGCACCAACTTCCGAGGGGCTGTCACCGAGCTCAAGAAGGCGTACACCGAGTGGCTTCCCGAGCTGAAGAGAGAGGCGATGAACTACGATGCCACATGGAAATTCATCGCGCCGGGAGCACCTAACCAAGGCGGAGCCTGGGAACGCATGGTTCGCTCCGTGAAAACCGCGCTCAACGCAACATTAAAGGAACGAGCACCGAAGGAGGAAGTCCTGCACACTCTACTGGCCGAGGCGGAACATGCTGTCAATTCGCGACCACTGACGCATGTCTCCGTAGACCCAAGCGATCCGGAGGCGCTAACCCCAAACCACTTCTTGTTGGGGTCATCGACCGGCCTCCCATACACCGGGCCATGTGAAGAGGGCGACCGCAGGACTTGGAGGGCGACGCAAGCACTAGCCGACGCCTTCTGGAAACGCTGGCTACGAGAGTACCTACCGACCCTCGTACCACGCCGCGACCCACAACGTCCACGAAGCAGCGAAGTCCGGATCGGAGACGTGGTTATCATAGCCGACCACGCTCTGCCTCGAAACACGTGGCCACGCGGCATCGTAGCCAATACCTACCCTGGACCTGACGGCGTGATTCGGAACGTGGAGATAACGACAAGAGGAGGAACATTTCGGCGGCCGACATCGAAGCTGATCGTCGTCGAACCTGCACTCTCCACGGAACGATGAGAGAGGACGCGCTGCGCGACGGGCACGGGGCTGCCAACCGGAGGAGGCTGCGGAGATCCTTCGCCGGGGGGAGACTGTTGACGACAGCCACGTGCCGAAAAATGTACAGATCGAACGACCAATCACAGCGCCTACATTTGCGGAATTCTCAGGGAGCCCATTGGCTGCGTATGCGCCGTCCGCACGGTGGGGGCGATTCCCCCACCCGGCGCGCGGGCGCAAAACGCGCTGTGATTGGTCGGCCGCCGCGCGTCACTAGTAGCTAAGTTAGATGTTAAGTGTAGAATAAGGGTAGGGCCAAATTTGTAAATATTTGTAGTCAAGTCAAGTCAGTCAAGTAGTCAAGTCAAGTCAGTCAAGCAGTATAGTCAAGCAGTAATAAGTAGCCAGTAAGAAGAAAAATAAAACGTCTATAGAAGAAATTCGTCTTTGTTTTCACCATCATCCACGGTTATACATCGTCTACAGTTTGGTCCATAGAGCCGGATCAGCACCCTCAATAGTTTTGGTCCTTCGAGCCGGATCACCACCCTCAATACACGCTATAGTATCGCCTGAAACTGTTCTGCTTTGAATTAACAGGTCACGTTATAAGTTATATGAAACCAGAGTTCTATAATTATAATAATTCAGTAACAATTAAGGTATTTTGCAAACCATAACATTGTACAAAAAAAGATGTAAGTAACTAGCTAATAAATGTTTTCCTTGGTGACATTTAATTAATATAACAAGTAATTGTGATTTTAAATTGACAATCATGTTATCTTACAATTTAAATGTCTATTTTATATAATATATAAGGTACAATACTGAATGCCTAATACTGAGCAAGATGTGAGATTCAAAATTAAGGTATCCAAAACAGTAAATGGCATACCTAACAAAAGTAAACAACAATCAAATTGATTCCGGGTAAAAAATTACTGTCAAATTTGCTTTTTATTTATTGTAGTTGTTTATTATTTATTACTCAATCTACAGACTTATTTCTATGTAGATACATAATTAATATCAACTGGGAATAACTAAAATTCAAATTACCTAACAAAAAAGTAATAGATATAATGCCCAAGCTAAGCTCGTTTAGATATTATATTGTCGAATATGAATTATTTATGTGATAATTATTGTCATAATAATCATTCCTCAGAGTCAATACCGGAATATTTCAAAACCACAATAATATTTACAAAAGAATAATCATTGTTAAAGTCGTAAATATATAAATGCATGTATTTAGCAAAAACTAACAAAACAACTTTCAGTAACAGTTTAATACTTATATCAGCTTACAAATACAAATAATTATCTAGTACAATAATACTGTTTAGTTACTATAAATACTCCAAAATTTACCTGTTAGAATTAGACCTAACATTCAGTCATTGTCACAAGTTATATTAACATTACTACTAGATTTGTGTTCACTTTTATTGTGTGCATTTTCATAATCCTCATGTAATACGACCGTGGTGGCGCTAACGCTGGATGGACTTTGAGAATGAGTAAGATTTGTGCGATTGCTGTCAGCCAAATGTTCGAGTTCGTGGCTTTCTAAATTTGGTATCCCCGAACAAATGGAACTCACCCGCGAAACTGATTTACGTTCATCTGATGGAGATTCCTTTGAAGAGTTCCTTCCAAATATATGAAGCAGTGAACACAAGAAAAAGGTAGCATAAACCCAACTAACAGACATAATTAAAGCTAAGAAAGTTCCGATTTGAGAATAAGGAAGGAGATTCGAACGGAGAAGAAAAATTCCGGCAAAACCCGTTGTTAATGCTGCTGCAGATGTCGGACCCGCAGATGCCGAAAGAGCATATTTAACTCTAGACGTCCTTGAACCGCTAGCATTCGTAAAGCTTAGTGCATAGTGAAGACTAAAATCCACAGCTAAACCAGCCGAAGTTGATATAGCTACGCTTTCTAACACATTTAGTTTCCAATCATTCAATACTAGAATTGCTATTGTCACGGTGGACGAAAATATCATAGCAGTTAAAGCACAAACGCTAACGATAAAGTTCAAAGTAGCAGGAATAAGAACTACAAATCCTAAGCTTGCAGATAGCAAAAGTGCAATTACAGTTCCACTAGCTAATGTTCTCTGTAGGTCATAAAATTGTAAATCTGACAAAAACCAGCCACAGGACATTCCAGGTGGTGCCGATTTTAATTCTTCTTGTGTCCAGTTTTCCACATGTAGGAAGAAATTGTCCATAGTAATATAAGACATTGTGTAAGGTACAACACTTTCAAATTCTACTACTAAAGCTACTACTGTAGGAGGTGTAGCACTCCTTAAAAATTTGGGACCAGCTACTCCAGGCATAAACAATTCACGTGGAGTTAAGTATAATGATTCCATAGCTTTTATTATGCAGTAATTAAAGACCTCCTTTTTATAAGGAAATTGCGATGTTACACAGCATGGTGTTCTGTTAATTTTGTCAATATCATCAATGCAAATTCGGTCCATATACCTTTTAAAACTTTCAATAAAACAATTTGGAAGTAATGGACCTAAAGTTTGCTGATAAAAAGGTTGGGCTTTTAATCTCATACAAAACTTAAGTAACCATGATTGTGATTCAGGATCTGAAATCGAAAAGCTATCATCAAATATTAAGTGACCTGTAGAATAAGGATTCATGTGGTTCCCATTGTCAATAGCCTTTACTCCCCAAACCCATCTGAGAGGCATTTTACTGCCTGTACCTATGTCTTTACCAAATCTTTCAAACAGAAAATTATCTCTGTAATTCATTTCATATTGTTCCATAGGATGACTAGTTTGAAAAAGCTGAAATTCTCTAGATTCTGGTAGTTTCAACCCTGGAGTATAAAATACTACAATGATACTTCCAATTCCTATAGCACCCAATACTATAACATACACTATGTGTAGTTTAATTACACATGTAATAATGAACCTATTCAAAACAACAATGATATCTTCCCAAACATCACCAATAGATTTATAGATTACATCAAACAACTTTATTTTGCCTGCACACATTTTAACATCTATAATGTAAACTGACACTGGCAACCAACTAATAATTAGTAAAAAGTTGACTAGAACCGCTGTCCCAGCAAATACACTGAAACAATTTATAGCTGGAATGTAACTTACATAGGAGGCATAAAATGCAACAGCCGTTGTTATTGTAGTAATAAACATTGTAACAACTGAATGCTTCAAAGTTTCCTCAAGTATTTGCACAAGAATAGTTTCCCCTGCGCTTGACAAATTCTTTATGTCATTTAAGCAGTTATCTTGAGCGATAATGTTATCCCTAATAAGCTGTTTACTGACTGTGTTCCAAACTTTTACATAAAGAAAAGCATCATCAGCTCCAATGCCTATCACAACAACTATTACTAATAAATTCATAAAGGGAAAAAACTCCAAATTGAACACATAAACATACAAGAAGTATGCAATTCCCAGAGAATATGCTATAGCTGTAAATAATAATAAAGTAAGAATGAGAGAGTGAGTGTAAAACCATACACCAATAAATACAAAAACACCCCCTAACCCTATTAGCCAAGTATCTTGGATTAACAATACATCAAATAGAGCATTTTTGATTCCAAAATCTAGAGCCGGTATAACAAGAGTATCATAAGATAAATTTGAACTTTGTAATTTCATATAAAATGGTAGTGAAGTAACACTATATGGCAACGGGAGAAAGATCATAGAGTTGCTAACAAATGTTTGAGTATTATCATCAGGAGAGAATGCATCTGAATCTATTAAATAAAATAGTAAGTTATATACTGCATCATATTGAGAACAATATTTTGGAACTTTACAGCGATTTAAGTCACATGATGCCATTAATGTAAAATTGTGAAAATAACCAGCACATTTTTTCAATATGTTAACAGTCTTATTTACATCTTCCCTAGTCAAATTTTCACAAGAACTCTTGCCAGACATTAAAGCTATATAATTTGGCACACTCCATATAGGGCAACACAATTCTTCAGGATGTGTTGACCTTTCACAAAGTTTATAATATTCAGACCCACCTAATTCTACAAGGAAATTTTGCAATCTACACATTTTATTTACATTATCATATGTAAGCAAAGATGAGTTATCAGAACTAGTAACAACCAAATGGGCATAGTCAGAAACAGGAGGACCGCATGTTCCAGAGGCATAATTGAGATGTACCGATTTGTCTGGTCTTCGTTGCATATCTCTCAGTGATATCCATTGTCTTCGAGTGTGATCTTTACTAAATACAGTGTTGTCATCTTCAAATGATACATTTCTTCCATAGCCCCAATGAACATGACCATTAGATATGTTTGATTCTGAAGAATTGTACCAAATTTTTTCAATACCAGTACTATTATTAAGGATTTTTTTCTTCTTTTTACGAATTTTGTTCTTGTGGCCACGACCCGACCTAGGTTTGTCTTGCTTTGCTCTATTGTAGTATGTTTGATTCATACGTATCTGGTCTTCGATTTCCTTGGGATTAACAGCCAATCTTCGGGAAGGTCTTGTTTCATCAATAAGGTTTTCCCAGGCTATAAACCGATGTGCCAAGGTAGTTCCTCGGGTCTCGAAACCCACTAGAGGATCGGAAAACGATGGCAGGGTATGACAAATTAATGGAATGACGGTGAGTATTGTTGAAATCACACTTACGATGAGAAGAATCAGGAAGGAATGGCGAACAATAAACCTGGCGTAGGCAGACAACATCATTTTGCGACGATTGCAGGGCCTTCATAGTTATTCTGCTACTCCATCTTCTGTCATTACAACTCATTTTAATAATAAAGCTTAAAAGAAAGACTTACTTTTCTTTTACATTTTGCAAATTATGATCAGTAGGTAGGGAAGATAGGAAGAACAAAAACACTACTATTCATTCAACATTTCAACTTGATTTCAACACAATTATTTATTGACATTGACATATATTTTTTTTAATTATTTATTCATAGCCATGGATACAAGTCCTTCAGCCAATACATTTTATAATATTTACCATTTGTAGAATAGCTATATACCTACATATTTATATATTTTCTATAGTATTACAAATGTATTTAAACAATGGAAAATAATAATCTGGATTTGCTAAGAAGTCTATTATGCGGCGGAGAACACTTATTTCACTAGTACTGTAATGTGTGTAATGTCATCCGCGAGCACTAACCGTTGTAAATGAAATGAAGGACATCTGAGTATTAGCATTGACATGATCAGACCAGGGGCGACCGTTTAAAAAAGTAAAATCTGCCCGACATCACCTAAAATCTAAAAAACTTACCAAGGCCGTCAGGTACCAGTGCGACACAAATAAATAATTAACTCTATAAAATAAAAGTTTCAAAATAGTTTTTCCAGTATTGTTTACAGCTTAGGATTCTTTAAAACACGATTTGGTAATTCGCAAAAGTGGTGTTTTTTTTTACGTCCGGCCAGGCGAACATGTTTTTTTGGTATTTAAAGTACCCGTCTTTTAATTATTTTTGTCATTTAATCATTAAATTCAACAGTTAATATATGATAATGTTGCTGCCAAAACATCGAAGTATAATTTCCTTGCTATGTCCATATGCTATCGTTTCTGATATTGCGATGCATATTTCAGTTTTGTGAAATGCTGAATACTGACAGTTTTATTTTACATTTATTCATCATATAGTTAGGTATTGATAAATAAAATCTATAACAAAATTATAGTTCAGGGAATAAAATAAAACCAACATTTGTTTTTGTCCCGGTCAAAAGAATAATTTCTATGTTTAATTGTTTTACCGTTATAATAAAGCAACACAAACAAATTGAATTTAAATGAATACGCCGTTTGATACAGTTAGTTCGTACCAAAACCATGTCGAAGCGCTACCTACATGTTGTATTCGGTTTCTTGCAATCACACAGTTACATCTTTCCTTGCGTTTTTGTTTATACATTTTTCAGTTTCCTTGGTAGCAATTTATCAGCTGTTAAATGATATTAATAATCAGTTTTTTGTTAACATGTAGTTCTTATATATCGGAAGGTACTATATTAATGTAATTAAATTAAATCTACGTACTATACTTTTACATAAATACTTTCTACATAAATAATTTTAATCTGTTTTAGTTGTTTTTCATGGAATAAAAATACCCAAAGAAATTATAGATTTACAAGTAAATTACATGTTAATAAATTTAAAAGAAAAAGAAATCACTTTAAAACTTAATATACCAGACAAAAGAATAAATAAACCTAGCAAAAAATCAATCGTTTCAAAATCGACAATCTAACACGACCTTTACTAACGTGGCCAAAGACCCGAGAGTCAAATTGACCCGACACTACACCGAAGATGGCTCTCAAACATCAAGGCACCGGGTGAGGCCGGAATCACAGCTGAGCTTCTGAGGATCAGAGGAAAACCTTTTAGGAAGTCCTTCAGAGGCTATTAAATTCGTCATCCTCGAAGGCAGAACACTTCGGTATGATACAGAAGTCTGTCCAAGAGTCAAAACCATCTTTATAAACTTTAAGACTATGTCGCTGCTGAGCTCTGTCTTTATTTATTTTCGAGAGTCACCACGAGTTGTTTCGAAAGAAGATTTGACGGCTTCCAGCCTCTCGAGCAAGTGGGTTTCCGATAGTGTTACCTTAGAACACATACATACTTTTCGTCAAATAATCTAAAATACTGAGGAGTACAATTCGCCACTATGCTTGGCGTTTGTTGTCTATGAAAAAATTTTTGCTTCAATCGAGACCCGGGTAGTGTTGCAGTCACTCTAACAGTGCCGTATTCAAAATCGTTACATCGAAGCCTTGAAGTGCTTGTATGAAAATGCCACCTTCCATCGTCCATTACCCTCAAAAGATATCGTAGACATGGCTGAGACCCTGTAAGACCTTAGTACAGTCTCTTCAAGACCTCAGGAGATTACCTCAAGAAGTAGAACTCAAAATTACCATCAACAAGACGAAACTCATGTCTAAAAACTATGTTGTCCCTACTTTCGTAAATCTTTGGAACTCGACTCTAGAAGTCGTTGACCAATCGTTGACCATTACGTATACTTAGAGTTATAGCGTTCGAAAAGCTCCGAGGTGTTTTAGGACAAATGTTTTTAACCAATGTGTATTGCTAGAGATGACGTATGGCACCGAGACGTAGCCACTTACTGTGGACCTTTTAATAGGCTCAAAATCACCAAAAAGGCGATGGAAAGGGGCATGTTTGGAGGAGGTTCGCAGACAAATCAAGGTCATTGATATAGCCCGAAGAATTGCGAGCCTGAAGTGGCAAAAGGCAAACGGTCGTTGGGCAATATAGTCCTTGGGTAATGACCACAATCCGGGAAGGAAGTAGACGATCGGGTCAGAATTGCGGTGAAGCATTGGATTTAAACCGAACGCAACCGCTTGACGTGGCGATTTTGCGGGGAGGTTTTTGTCTAGCAGTGCAAAAGTGAACATTTTCCGGCTGACATGATGATGAACCTATTATGAATTTATAACTCAACTTAAAGCAAAATGAAGTAAGAAACATATGATCTTAGTCTTAGTTAAATTCCAATAATTTTATTTGCAAATATATCAGGAAGATTTAATATAATTTGTCTCCGCTTTGTGTCAATTTGGTAATAATATATTCCTCTATAAAAATTAATAATCACTTGGTTATATATGTCTTTGTAATTTCCATGCAAGATTATAATTTCCTTACATCGTCCATGATTTCCTTGATAGTCGAAAATAATTAGTCGAAAATTTCATAACAAAAGTTACAACCTTTGTCCTAAAAGGTTTATTTTTTAAAAATATAAAAATGTGCAGTTTTTAATGCCTATATATTAAACAAATTATTAAAAAAACAATGACCATGTAAATTAGAAGCAAATTGAGATTTTTGGTATACTACCTGTTTCTCTTGTTAAACTTACACCTTGACCATTCAAAATACAAAGCAATATTAGTCCAATTTTCAAACTTTAACTTATTTCAAATAAAGGAGGTTATTAATTAGAATGTGATATTCATATATGTTGGCTGTGTGGGCTTCTAAACGCGTGTTTGCTAAATTTTAGGTTGTATGTATGTATACAAATATGTGTGTGTGTATAACAGTATGTTCGTCCATGTATTTCTCGCAAACTAAACATCGGATTGCAATGATTCTTTTTTTTAATAAGCAATTTTTGCTCAGCATTTAACATAAGAAACACTACAAACTTCATCGAAATAGGTTTAGTATAATAGTAAAATGCAGGTCGTTCAGATTCTATCGAGATGCGATAATTACGTAAAAAATAGCAAAAAGGTTAGGAATGTTTCGGATGCAAAAATCTGTCGTACCGCTGGGTAGGAAGATTTTTTTTTACTCAAATAAATAGGTTTGGGCTGCCATCTAGTGAAATTATTTTTGGAGATTTTTCTTTTATAATACATACAGGATTGGTGATTTAAAATTATTATATTTTATTAGATGAACAATTAATAACTAGAAACAAACGACGAGAGAGATGCAGTAACGTATTTACTAGATCCTTTCTTTCGCGTCGCGTGTAATATTGATATCTCTCAACGGGGAACGTGGTTGTCTTGGTTCACTGGGAATATCAAGCGCTCGTGCGCGTAAGGGTTCATAAGAGAATCTAATTTTGAAATATATTTTATAATTGTTTCAAAATAAAGTTCTCTAAACGATTGTTATTAAAAAAAATTGTAATGAATTTACTAAATACTTAGGAACATGGCAACTTTTTTATTGTCTCTGACATCTTGTGATCACAAGACCTCTCCGTTTTGAGTTTTCTGTCAAGGCAAAAATTGGGCGAAAAAGGCCGTCCCGTTTGGGATTTACGGGTAAAAAGCTCCAATTTGCTCAACAAATATCTCAGGATGAGATACTTCCTTACTTACTTGTTCGTGCTCCTTGTGGGTCTCGCTATAACAATATTTTCGTTATACTACCTCTTGAATGGAAAAGGTGAGCAAATCAGTCTGGGATGGTTTTTGGAAAACACATCCCCTTACATGTGGGGAACTCTCGGTATCGCGTTCGCCGTGGCTTTGTCAGTGGTTGGTGCCGCCATGGGCATTCATACGACCGGAGTGAGCATAGTTGGCGGAGGTGTCAAAGCGCCCAGAATCAAGACCAAGAATTTGATCTCCGTCATCTTTTGTGAAGCTGTTGCTATTTATGGATTGATCACTGCCATCGTGTTGTCAGGGATGCTAGAACGATACACAGAACCCATCCTTGACAAAGCTATCAAAGACCAAAATTGGATGGCTGGGTATGTGATGTTTGGAGCTGGTCTGGCTGTAGGCCTTGTTAATCTGTTTTGCGGCATTGCTGTCGGGATTGTTGGCTCTGGAGCAGCCTTAGCAGATGCAGCCAATGCAGCTCTGTTTGTAAAGATTCTGATAGTAGAAATTTTCGGATCAGCCATTGGTCTATTTGGGCTTATTGTCGGAATTTACATGACGTCAAAAGTTAAGATGGGTAACCAGTAATTTAGGAAAAAATCAAAACTTGAAGATTTAAGTGTAAGTATCTTTTTATTAATCTATCATGTCAGCTGATTAGTCAAGGTAACCAACAGAGCGGTTATAAAGTGGTACCAAATTAGTGCTTAATTTTGTTCAAGTATTTTGCTAAGGATTTAATATATATCAAATTTAATTTGATTATATTTTCAGTCTGTGGAAGTTTAATCAGATTTGAAGCATAAATACATTCATGAGGTATTATTGTAATACAACCTGTTTGTATGACCTGTTAATTTTTGGATATGCTTAAATTTTAATCAAAATATAGGTCTGTTATCTTCGTAGGGTAAAAATAATAGTATACTTATTTCTCCAATAGTGTCCAATTGGTCTGAATACTTTACATTTGAATCAAATTATTTGGCCAATAACATAAAAAAGTTACTGAATACCTAACCTTAAACATACACTTGGTCCATTTCATATTGAAATGATGTTTAGACTGATGATAAAAATATAACTAATTAATAAACCATCATAAACATGTATGACATTAATAAATATCTAATTTTTTTAAAGTTCCAACAGTGTCATGCGTTACTTATTGTATGTAGTTCTTTATTTTATTAATCTTAAAACTTATGTAAGCAACTTTAATAATGATATAAAGATGTTACAATTTTTTTATTTGTTTACAGAATATATCCATCTAGTTGCCAATGTTTTGCTGCTCTATGTAGAGCACACTGCAACTGTATAACATTCATAAAAAATATTTGTAGTAAAGCCATGTTAGAAACTTGGTTCTCAATAACATAATTAAAGTGTTTTTAAATCAATAAATAACAGTTACAGTTAACAGTTTTAATGAAGAATATTTACCATTGTGAATGCAAAATTGAGAATATGTAATTAAAACAAATTTTCATTCTAATTTAAAATATTTGTATAAATATTTCTTTCCATAGTTTGGATGGATTGCCGAAACATTGATGAAAATAGGCTCACTGGTAGCAAAAAGTAAGAAGTGCTTGAAAAATTGTCAGTCCTGTTGGGTTTTGGGTAGGTCAGTGGTTAGAGCAGTCGCCTGGTTAGTGAAATGTTGTGGGTCTGAGTCCCAACACGGGGTGCCTGGGGCTAGTGGAGTCTTTGAGCATTTCTCATAAAGTTACCGGTACAGTATTGTAAATACAAAATTCATAACACATGAATAGCAGTTTTTTATTATTTTATATGCAAAAATTAAAACCACTTATCTGTACCTGTTTTATGAGCTTCTTATACTTTAAAATACGAATAGGATCAAGTAATTTGGTGAAATTATTGATTACCCATTAAGAAAGTTTCCATATGATACTGGGACATGAAATAAAGTATTGACACCTTTACATATATCTAATTTTGGATTATAGTTCATAAGTTATAGGAAATTCGGGTTATTGTTGACCTATTCTGTTGATGCAATGTATAGGGAAATTGTAATTTTCTGGCTATTATATTTGATCAATTTTGCATTCATAATCGTATTCTGGAAAATATTCTTAATGAAAAATGCTTAAAAATAACACTCACTATTATTAAAAAGTAAAAAGGCTTGAAAAAATTGTCATTCATGTTGGCAGTGTTGCCAACCCCAAGAAATTAGAAAACGTCAGATCACCAATAAAAAAACAGGAGAAAACAGTAGGATATGTAAAAAAGGCATTTTTCATACTGTACTTATATGAACTGATATACTAGTTATCAAGACTTACATTGTTATATTATACATTGTGATCATAAAATAAAAAATAAAAGAAACAAAATAAAAAATTAAGTTATTTTCCACTTTCTTCTATATGTATATATAGTTTTGATGAATTTCTTCAGGTTCCTTTCTGTGGCTTCAGTTATTTTGGATTATATTTGCATAGTGTAATAGGTGGCACTGAATGTTAATTGAAAAACAGTAAAAAATTGGAATAAAACAGAAAACAGGGGCATCAATGTGAAAACAGCAAATCTACTGTTAAAGTAGGGTTGGCAACACTGCCTGTTGGATCTTGGGTAACTCAGTGGTTAGAGCAGTCATCTGGATTTCAAAAGTAGTGGGTTCGAATAACATGGCAAAGTAGCGGGCTGGGCTGGTGGATTTTTTAAGCTATTTTCATCAAGAGTATTTTTTTAGCTTTTAACAGATATTTTAAATATTTCTTATCAAAATATATAATTTGTTCCTCATTTACTAACATTAATTTTTTTTTTCAGTGGACTACAGCACTGTATAGTTCCTGTCTTGACTAATAGCAAAATCTGTAAATCCGAGAATTCAGTGCATATTGAAAATAAAATCATTCAAAGAAGTAAAATAAAAGCTTAAAATTAATATTATTACAGTGTTAAAGATGTGTATGTTTGGATAACCAACATTCTATTTTCCTGGTGTGTGCTATGTACATTTTTAGTAATATTGTTAATGAAGTCTTGTAAACAATATCTGATCTTAGCACTATCATAATAGTGATTTGTTAATAAAATATAACTTAAAATATAATAGTAATTGTAAATTGACATTTAGACTTATTTATTATTCAGTTACTGCATTTTGTGCTAAGGTACAGACATTTGTGAAGGATTTGTATAGTACTGGAGTGTTTTGATGACTTTTAACTATATACATTGTGTTGTTTAATACCGTTATAACACAAATATCCCATTATTAAGCTGGCTAGCTACACATTGTATGTTAAAATACATATGTTTTATCATTTGTCTATAACATTAAATGTTTATATCTTATACGATGCTGTATCCAGTCACTTGTTTAAAGGCTTAAACATTCCATAAGACCTAATTTCAGTTTGTGAAATCTTCATTGGTTTTTATAAGTCGATAGCCCATGTATAATTAAGGCTGTTTTCCATATTGTGACAACATATTTATGGTAATAAAAATTAACATATTGTATTGTGAATGTCTTTTATCCAGTTGTTACCAAAAAATACATTTGCCACAATCTAAATCTGTCTTTTAGTGGAAAATGTGCCCTTGTCATATTAAAGTACTTTTGAACTAATATACAGTAATCCTTTTATATAAAAAAAATTGATTAAAAATTTCCATTGTAAATATTAGTTTGCTTACCTATCTGCTAATTTATTGTACTTGTAAATTCATATCCATATATAAACTTATTGTTAGGTGTTGATGTGAATGCCATGGACTATATTCAATCATACTTTGTTTAATGTTCAGTCATCTATAATTGGCACAAGTTATGTGTACACAAAGAACAAAAAATTTGAGAAAGTATTATATCAGTCGTAAGATACAGATTACTGATGTAATTTATAAGTTTATTATATTTTATTTGTGCAAATGTAGATATTATGTATGTTGATGAATAAATAGATAAAAGTTTTTGCTGTTATTGATTTTAAAAATATTACAGAACCTTTACAGTCGAATATTAAGGTTATAAATCATTGGAATAATTTAACATCTTTGTGTATGCTGATTTTCTGTTAACTGTATTTTATGAAGTTCTTTGATTTCTGAACGGCGCGTTTGGTCTAAGGGTCGGTGCTTCAGTTAATATTCTAAGGTAGATACAAATCTTGACGGAAGATATTTGTCAGTTCTGATGTTCCGCAACCGACGAAACGACGTATCTTCCGTTATATATGATGATGATAATTTATGATCCAACGTAGGAACGGAGGGTAAATATGTGTAGTGATATTTGATTAGGGTCTACACAAAGGGTGTCAAAAACATAAGGCGTGGGAAACAACAAATTACAGTTAAGCAGTAATAGAAATTTTATTGAAATAAAACAATTTTTAGCAATAAAATATTTTATTTAAAAACAATTCTGATGTTCATTTGTACCACTATGAAATATTATTTGCACAAAACCGATGCATAAATTATCTAAAGCTATTATTATATGTTTATATAAATGAGCAAGATTGACCACAATAAAAATTGGATTAAATACAGACGTGAGCCAAAAATGCGGGCAGTTCTACATTTACTTATGTACTTATATGCGGGGTCTCGAATTCTGCTACTATTATCATAATAATGTCATACCATTTAGCCATTATATTTGTCAATTTGCAGTGCTGTTCTGTGAAAAATACAGCATCGAACACAGCGCTGTCTCAGCATAAGGATCACTGAATTAAACTCTGCTTTAAGAGATTTAATCTATTGAATCTAATGCTCTGTTCGACGATGTGTTGGGGTCCAATATTGTTTCTTTATTAGCGTCTTTATAAATTAACGGCGGCAGATTTATTTGCTATTTTGAGTAACAAGAACTGTTAACAGATCCAACCGAAATTCAACTGATGAGTCATAATTAAATACGAACGCAAGCAGAATTGAATCCCTTGGATATTCGTTTCGTTATTTTAATTCATAATTATGATTTTTTCCAAAGGATTTGCTGACGACTGTTTTGCTTTTGTATTACTTTCACAGAGTAAAAAAAAAAATATATACATAGGACAGTAGTATCTCAAAGATAATTTCCTTTCGCCACGGGAGCACCAACTATGAAATTAGTCCAATTACTGTCGCTCATTGAAAAAATGTATATTGCACATATTTTCGAAGCTATTTTATCTATGCTATTTAAATAATTTTACATTACAGTGAACTTCAAATCCAACTCGTTACAATAAATAATTAAAATGGAATGTGTGATGTATCACTTCTTATTAATTTCTACATAAACACATCTACATGAATCATATGAAATATTAAAAAAGGAAGTTCTTAACCCACAGAGGCATATTAAATGACGGTTTAGTGCGTTTCGAATTTTCCGCTAGAGGCGCTGGAGAATATGAGAAAGCTCATTGTTAACTGTTTTATTTATTTTGAGATTGTAGGTATTTATTTATAACCCTACCCAGTAGAGGCGCAATCAGGTGGTCTCAAAAAAGGATAGCCCTCCGAGTGTGCCTTATTTACTACTTTATAATTAACAACAAACAAAACACTTTTTAAAAGTTTCAAATGTATTTTAAATTTATTTCACGTTCAGCGGAAATGTTTTTCTTAATTTTCTTTTACCTATAGAGGTAAGAGCGTTAAAAATAATAAGTAATTTATAAAACGCGGGGAGTGCCTGATATAAAGACGTACAAAAATTATATGGCAATGTGAAACTACAGAGTACCTAAATAAAGCTTTTTTCCTTATTATCTAGTTTCTACTCACTTATAAGTTACAGTGTAAAAATCTATTTATTTACAAAATAGGTGGAATCTTCGCTAAAACGCTCAAAATGCACACAACACTCTTTTTTATTTACATAAATCTATAGTTATTATGTAGACTTCATTAAAATACACAAAACGCTATTCAATCCCATTTACTTATTTGTCTTTAACAAATCTGAGTTTACCTACTTAAAAAGTACACTATGGGATCATTTTTAGAGTTCAATGAATGCAACAAATATCTAATTCCTAATACACATATATCATTAAGCTGAGCTTATTATTACAACTTGCTGCGTTGATCATAAAATCTGACTCTGATTAAAAAGATCTCTATTACACAAACTTACATATAATGTTTTGGTTTTAATATAAAAATAATTATCTATGATTTTAATAATGCAAGGAGTTTCAATTTGACTACAATTTTTCAGGTAGACTTAAAATGCAACGTGATTAGCTAAAGATATTTTAATCATAAAATATCTAAATATAAAAATAGTGATCGAATTGAAACCCTATAAATTTACTTCATTATATACAACTGACTTTGGATGTTAACATCATTACCTAATCTTTGTTTCAGGCATCAAAATATTTATAATTTGCACTAGTCCCATTATACCCGATCAATTTGATAATAAATCATTATACCAATTTTTCTTTCCAAATCTGCCGAAGTTTGTATTCTATGACTACTTTACATGGTGATATTATATCAATAGGGGTCATCCATAAATTAAGTCACACGATTTTCATGATTTTTTGCCCCTCCCCCGTCCTAGTCACAGCTGGTCACATTTGTAAGACTTCCCCTCCTAGTGTGATGTCACATATTTTGCAAGGTTTTTGTAAAGTAATAGTTTAAAGTTCGTGTTTTAACACTTAGATTATAATAGATTTTGAAATGTGACGTCACGAAATTTAGGACCCTCCCACCCCCTTGTCACACAATGTCGTGACGTAATTTATGGATGGCCCCATATACGAGAATTGTAAAACATTTTTATTAAAGAAGTCTTTATTCAACTTCGTATTTAAATTATTAAGTATAGATACCTATTGTTTACTCAGTGAACTGAAGATTTCCTACTTAAAGCTTAAACATTATAATCCCATAAATAAATAGCCTTTAAATTCTAAACTATGGCAGTGGATTACTGATTGTTGAGACAGTCTTGCATTAAATTAACATTAAGACACTTAAAATTATGTTTACAATATAAAATAGAGAGAAATTGATTAACTAAATGAGATTCATTGGAAATCTTGTACTAATATTTTCAAACTCTCGTCTCTGCGTCGTCTTCAGTAGTAGATTTCCTATAAAAATAATTATTTTGTTACAATTAGTGAAACTGTAAACTAAATTATTTGTAATTCTTTTCAGTAGCGTATTTACATTATTGTAAATTATTATATCATATTTGTTATTTAAACAGTAAAATCATTAGATACATTTTATTATGAAACTCTAGGTTGACATAATATATGTATCGGTTCATTGGCAAGGCTGCGATATGACGTCTTTGCACGTGATGTTGTGATAAAGCATGTGAGTAAAGTAGTCGACAAAATAGTTAAGCATCTGTATAGATGCATACAGTTTTGTCTTTGGTTAGGTGTGATAATTATACAAAAATATTATGTTGACCGCTTGAGTGTGTTCAGAGGTGGAATTATAAAAGATGGATAGTGTGTGATTTTTACTTTGTAAATGTTACTTTAATAAAAATAATATAAAAATCCTAACTGGTGTTAAAATATTAGTTTTGGTTTCGATTGTTAATTCTTAGAATTATAAAAACGTTTTATTATTCTTGACGATACAGTTGTCCAGGTTTATACTTTTGACTGTTAAGAGATGGCATGAGAGTTCAAATTTCAGATTATATATTTTGCTATGAAAAAGATTAATAATTTATTCATATGAATATGAATAGTCAAAATATCTGCTTATCTAAAATTCCCATTAGTCCACACTGAGCCCGTATGGTGGGTTATTAAGCTCATTCTCTGTATTTGTTCTATCCATAGGGAAAGCTTGTGCTCCAGTAATTGGGACACTAATAGCTTAATAAATTATTTTATTGCTTTATGAGCGTGCAAAATATCACTATAAAAGGCAGATACGGATTTATACCTTAAAAAGGTGGTCACAGGCACCCTGCAAAGGGAATGCTCACCAAAAAGAACTGCTGTGATCAATATTAGGACTTTGGCTTACCCGTCTTGCCCATGAGTGAATTTGACCTTCATAAATGTATATGAACATTTTCAGTGATAAAAAATAAAATCATCAGTTTAGAACAGTAGCGTCATCTCTTGACAGTCGAAACAAAGTATCAGTTGAATACAAAATTTGTATTGAAAATAGATCATGCAAGTTTACCTCGTCTCTAAGATGGTTGAAGGTGATATTGAGCGCGGCCACACCACCAGTTAGCAAAGCAAAAGATGATTTACAATGAGTGTTTCTCATACAACCGCCACCATCTACCGACAATTCATCATCACAGGTGATGTCGATGGATTCATATATGTTCGATAAAGAAATATTAATTCCACATGCTAGATAAAAAATAAAACCTGCTGTAAAATTTCAATGTTGTGATGTGATAATCAACGAATTTCTTTATCGAGTGTGAAAACAGAATACCCTTTAAAGTACACACCGCAGCACAAGTTATAATAAAATATCAAATTACCGAAACAAATTTTGAACTGTATTTTTAGCATATTAAGGCTTAAACATCAGTTAGACAAGTTTTCTAATTATATCCTGATGTGCTGTTGGCTGTATTATATTTGAATTGGGAAATAATATTTCGAACAGTAAATGTGTATATTTTATTAAACTGATTTCAAAATACAGGAAAAAAAGTTTCATCAGCGCACAAACTTTTTCCTGTCAAGAGAACATATTGTTATTATATATATTTGATGAATTTTACATTCACAATGCTTTATACTGAGAAATATTTATAAACAAAAATGCTTAAAGAAGATGGGTCCCATCTCGGGTTACCTGGGCTGGTGGATTGTTTAAGCGTTTTTTATTAAGAACATATTGTTTTTTCTTGTACCTACTGAGTAATTTTTTTTCCTGTATATTATTCGATGTACACATAGAAACTACTTAATATAAGTACATTTTGTTGATTTAGATGCTAGACGTTGGCTAAGTTTCATAAGTCAACAGTGTGCGTACGATTCTGCCGCTTTTCAGTGGTCGGTCTTTAGTAGGTATATCGACATATGAAATGAGCTTACAGACATCCTTCGCAGTAAGCATGCGTGTCCTTTCGACCAATGAAAAAGCTTACTGTGGTGTTCTTTTGAATATGTTAAATTTGACTGGAAAAAATTTAAAAGCGACGAATGTCACATTCACATGCGATCAATACATTTTTATACTCACTCGCTAGTTTCACCCATACTCGCTAGGGGCGCCCCCATCTGTTGCGGCGGTTCGCCTAAATATTTGAAAATAAAATTACGTAAATAACAATCCAGTATTGTTATCAGTAATTCGTCTATGATATATTTCATATTATAAAACATTTACCTTCACTATTTGAAACTATCATTAAGTACCTACCTCCGTTGGTTCGGTAAATTCTAGTTTTATTCTCTCTCTCTTCTGTATTTTAAAAGATTTTAAAAACTTACAGGAATGAAAGATTTCGAATTTACAAAAAAAATCTTGTAGCAACAGTTTAAGTATTTTATTTACGCCACTGAAATAATACCATAATATTCCCTATCAAGAGAAGGATTTTAGGACCTAATTTACTAAGATAAATCAATTACGGTACTTATGATAAACGCAAAATAATTACATAGAAATCGCATCTTTTTAGAAGCGACACTTGAACCCTTTACCTGATCTAATCATGCATACAACTATCATATAAAATAATTGATTTGTCCCACTAATTATTATTTAATCGTATGACGATCTATAACATAGACGAATATACATATTTAATTGATTAATAAAATAGTTAATTACAAAGACAAGATTAATTAAAAGCCGGCAATTGAGAAAAACACTAAACTGACTACATTTATTTTAGAAAAATATTGAAACTTCTTATACATTTAAAATATTAATTAAGAATAATACAGACATAATAAATCATATCATATCGCTTCTTCACATGAAATCTTGAATGTGAGTGTCAAACAATCAGTTGCACAAACTTATAATAAAATTGTCATTAGGTTAAAGCGACATTCGGTCAGATGCACAAACGTCGATTAAGTTTAGATGACATCTTTAAGGTCTAATTAATGATAAATGCATGGGTGAAGTCGTTTTAAATTAATAAACATTTTAATAGACGTTTGTGCAACTAGCTAATTGCCAAAATATTTCAAATTTAGAACATTCAGGGCACGCCGTCATTATACCTTAACAGTGCTATTAGTAAACAAGGTTTGGCTTTGGAGTGAATTTACGCCGAGACTGCACTTAGTATTAATCAAAATTCATATTATCAAACAGAAGCTTTGCAGAGCTTCAACCTAGCACCAGATTCTACGGGAGTAGTATTAACTCCTAGTAGTGGGTTTGCTTATTCTCTGTATAATATGAATTTGAACTAATACTAAAATCGCAATTTTATCGTCAATTTACTTCTGACGCTAAACCTTGTTTATTAGCACTGTAAAAATCGTTTGTGCAACAGTGCCTTTGAAAACTGTCCCGCATAAAAAATGTCATGACAAATTGTGTCATTGCATTAGCTACTCTATCAACAAAGTGTAAGGCCCAAAATAATCAGCGTTACCTGCGTGCGCGTTATGCACTTGCGGTGACTGGCTGACGGCGCGCAAGCTCGTGTGGTCCTCCTCGGCTACACCAAGCAAAGTAAAGGGTCACAAGCTATAGTACAGGGGGCGTGCGGACGATCAATTACAGTGACATTATTATGGTGCTACAATATTACGGTTAGATTCTTTTTGACAGTCAAAAGATGGCGCTATTGTTTTAATTTGATTAGTTTAATTTTTTAGCCATGAAAACGATATATGTTACTTATGCAAAATTGTAAAGTGATTAATTGATTTATTAATTATAATTGTAAATAAATAATTGGTTTAACACTTCTGAGTCATTTTATAATTTAGATCGATGAAGTTATTTATCATCAGTCCTGTTATGCCTCCACTGCTGGGACCCAGGCCTTCCTTAAGGATGGTTAAGGACGATGGGCCATGACCTCCACGCGGACCCAATGCGTATTGGAGGGTATTTACGACTGCAGACGCAGTCGCGACCAATGGCTTAACGTGTCTTCCGAAGCACGGAGTAGCTCGAGAAGGTAATTTTTTTTGCCACCTATCCTGTGACCGACCCTTGCAAATCCACTATCGTATTAAACGATCGTAGTCGTTAAGCAACTTTCGCAAGGGTCGGTCACGGGATGGGTGACCAAAAAATTATTATCTCGAGCTACTCCGTGCTTCGGAAGGCACGTTAAGCCGTTGGTCCCGGCTGCATTTGCAGTCGTTAATACCCTCCAATCCGCATTGGGCCAGCGTGGAGGGTCATGGCCCATCCTCCTTAACCATCCATAAGAAAGGCCTGAGCCCCTGCAGTGGGGACGTAAAAGGGCTGATGATGACAACTTTTAGGAATATTAAATTCACTTAACTAAACAACAGAAAACTATTAAGATGTACGAATGAAATAATCCACTAAAATTGATCGACTGTACAGTGTAGCAAATAGTTGCAAAGCTGCATAGGATTTAATTAAATTAAAAAAAAAATAATTAAACCAAATCCTTCAATTACCACTGCTAATGGAAAAAAAATGTGTAGCTAAAACGGAACCAAATTAATAAAATCAATCAACTCAATATCACTCAATGACACACATAACTTTTAAAGATCCACACAAAGCCACATACCTGTGTACGGGAACAAATATTTGTCATGAGTATGATGATGTTTGTCAGATCCCTCTGACATTCTTTCGCTGTATTCTGGACCGTAATGACTATCCATTTTCCTCTGGTAGTCGTTCTTCAGCATAGTCGCTATCCCCGAATCCCTAAAATCCCTCGGAGGATAGCCGTCATGCTCCCTCGTCGAGACCCCGGAATCTCTAAAATCTCTAGACCCGTATACGTTTGTGTCCGTGTTCAGATATTGAGTGGGACTGTAGCCGTAATCTGACGTCCTCGAAGACAGGTATGTCTTGGAACCGTACGGATTTCCTGGCAATCTGTACATAGTTGGGGAGATGGGGTAGTTCGGGTCGTACGGCATTTGCTTTTCAGTGTCGTTCGGTAGGACACCATACATGAGCTCCTCGTCCATGACCCCGTATCTAGTAAGAAAACAAGTGTCATGAAATTTCCATCCACTGCAGAAGGAGTGATCAAATTTGATTACTAATGTGAATATTGAGTACATTTTTATATCGTATATGTTTTAATCGTTTTATTTGACATCTGTCAAATAAAACGATTCACGCGACTGTTGAGTGATGCCTGGCGTAAAAAAAAAGAAATCTATTTAGTCCGTCAGTCAGATAGCAGAAAAATATTAGATACGTATATATACATATATATACAAGAAATTACTAAATTACAAGAAATTAAGATAACAGGCGGGCATTAAAGTTGAGGAGTTAGGGCTCGCTACGTCACAACTATGTAGAAAATGTACAAAGGCTTGACGCGTGCGACGTTTCACTTTCTGAGACATCTTGTTTTAGCACAAATCTAGCGCACTTGGAACATTGTTCAAGAAAACAACAATTCTGGACCGTATGTTCCAAGTGCGCTAGATTTGTGCCTAGAAAAAGAAAAAAATATTGAGTTGAAATGTTGTACGACGTCACACTTTTGTACATGTTTTACATAGTTTTTACGTAGCGAGCACCCACTCCTCAACTTTAATGCTTATTATTGAAGCTGTTTCTTGTTAAATTGAAGCATAAAAAATGTATCTTATATTTTTCTGTTATAGAACTGACGGACTAAATAGAAATTCTTTTCTTACCCAGACATCATCCCTATTAGAATTAAAATGTAGCTAATATATAGAGCTGTGCCCGCGTAGAAAGTAGCATAAGTTACCCCTTATTCCATAAATAATCAGTAAGTGAAAGTTCCGTTAAAATCGATGTAGACACAAAAAATGTAAAAAAAACAATTTTTTTTATATGTACTGTGTGTACATACATTAAGCTGTTATTTTAATATTACAAATTGACACTCAATTTTTATTTTATTTGTATAGATTATATTAAAGAAAGCATTGTTAATAACGAGTCGTACCTGTTGTCGAGCGGTAGTCTAGACGCTTCCACGCTGGCTACGTACGTGTCGTGCACGTTCTCGAGTATGGATGGCTTCATCCTGTGCCTGGCGAGGTACACGTCAGACGTGAGGTCGGGGTTGGGTAGTGGGTTCGGAGACGGTGACGCCATACCGGCGTTTAATGCTTCATTGTCCGAGCCGGTTTCTTGGGACCATCGCCCCATGTCGGGACGACTCGATTCTGTGTGGTGTGAGATGATTTAAGATAAAAGAAAGACTTCACTAAAATTTTTTACAGTTCCATATTACTTGGCTATTACTATTAGAATATTTGCCAGTTTTTGAATTGAGAAAAATACAAAATCTCGACTGATTATTCTCAATAACTGGTCCTATTTTTGATAAAACTAGCATTTGAATGAAGTAGAAACTTTTAATAGCTAATAATAATATTATTCTTAATATTAACAGTTCTTACTTCATAAATTTTTGTATATGATGGCAAAAAATATATACTTAAGTTATGACCAGTTTCTTACGCGAAAATTTTTTTTTTAATTTATTGGCACATAAAACAAATTACAGACATATATTTAATAAAAAATAATATATATAAAACATTACACAGGACCATAATTATTAACATTATGTACTCATAATTAACCTTATATTTATATAACAATCAAGAAACGGATAATCTATAGTATTGAGTGAATTAGACATAAAACAATACCATAATCATAATAAATAGTATTAATAAATAAAGTAAAATCCAAAAAGAAAAACAAAAAAATAAAAAGTAGGGAAATTAATTCATATTCATTATTTCAAATTGTAACCTGTCTCACCGAGAAAGTTAAAGAAAAACATTATAAACAGCTAATATTTTCAAGTACTACACTTTTAAACTTTTGCAAGTTTAGATGGAAACTATCTAGACAATCACACTTGGAGAATGGTTGAATGTGCGACACATTCTGACGATCGGGTTGTTATTGAAAGGGTGTGTTATTGGAGCAAACTTTGAGAGCAACTAAAGTTAAGCACGTCTCAAATCGTACTCCAACCATCTTAAAGTTGGTATAAAATAACTAATATCATTCGTTTTTTATCATTCGTTCGTTGTTAATAAAGTACATGTCAACGAAATGGGTATAATATAGATTCAGGACTAGAGAGTAGGAGGTCCCACGCGCAATCAACGAGCGTTCATTTCAGTGGCACTGCAGTAATTTAAATAAAATAAAGTCAATATTAGTGGAAACAGAAGGGTACATTTGGCTCCATAACTAAACTTCCCTTACCTTCTCTTATATGCGAGGGCCAGCGTGGCGGGATACCTAGGGGAGCGCCCTCTGTGATGTTGGGCAGGTAACTGCCTCCAGTACTACTCGATACTCTTTCTCCTAAATATATGTAAATTAATGTGGTTATTACAGAATATAGTGTAAGTTTCTTCGACGGTTAAAATGTACTTATTTAAACATTTTATTTTTGTTTTCTTATTTATATTTAATTTAAGATTTCTGTCGATGTCCTTAATAGTAATACGCAATTTGTATCTAGAACATATACCCATGTCTTTTGTATACCTATGATCTTTTGAATTGTTCAATAATATTTATTTACTCTGCGTTATTTAATTATTGTCTGTAACCCAATTCTGTGAAAATCCGTTATCGACCTCCAGATACAGCAGAGATAAGGGTTATTTCGTTATCTCCGATGTAAGTAGGTGAAAAAAGGCAAATAATATTTTTTAATAACGAACACAATATTAAAATTTTAACAGTGAATAAAATATATTCCTTTGTTTACGCAAAAATAATTGTTTTAATGATACGAAAAATGAAATAATTACAGCCTTTCTACATCTTCCTTTTTTTAACCGTAATATCGTTTAAACGCCATATTTTTACTTTGAAGATTAATTTCTTTTATCTCATTAGGGACTTTGTAAACATGTCAAACGTGTAAAAAATTTAAAAAGACATTTTTGTGAAGTTAATGTTACTTGGTTAGAAACTGTTTCTATCGACTGAAGGTATTTATAAAATCACCGTTCCTATCGTGTACGTGTACAGCCAGCAGGTTCATTAGTATTGTCTTAACTAAATTATGCTGACACAGTTTATAGCCCAAGACTACTATCAAGGACGGAACGACTTATACAGCTCTTTCAAAATGCTTGTGGCCGCTATTATTTTTCATTAACAATATTTTAATAATTAGAACAAAATTTTCATCTTTGTCGAAAGTTTAAAATATTTGTAAAATAAATATATTTCGGCTGTTTGGGTGAATTGCCTGAACACTGATAAAAATACGCTCTGAAGTAGCGAAAACTAACAAGCGCTTGAAGAATTCGTTAGACCCGTTAGGTAAGTGGTTAGAGCAGTCGCCTGGATTGCAAAAAGTTGTGGGTTCGAATCCCATCTCAGAGTACCAGGGATAAACTGGATTTAATCAATCTAGTTTATCTATTTATCTTTTATTTTTTTTGTATCATTTTAACTTGTTGTAATTTTTTAAACTTGTCTTTGGTCTCAAGTCTGTAATTTAATAAATCTTTATCTTTCTCTCTCTCATGTCAAAATGTGGCGTTCGCTGTAGAGCGATTTCGTAAAATCCGGTGTAAAATCGTCGGGTGTCCGATTTCACTTCGAAAGCAGCATCCGCTTAACCTTAAGTTGAGATTACCTTTTCATGGTATAAGTTAAGCGATTTGCGAAATGACATAGGTTAAGCGAATGTCGCTTTCGTAGCGAATGCGGTCACCTTGGTGAATTCGATTCGGGTGCGGATTTTTAAGGAATCGCTCTGCTGAATACTCAATGATGGCGTGTGTACTGACTGTTAGCGGACGGCGGGCGCGTGGAGCGACGCGTGGTAGTCTCGTCATCATCAGAGGAGTGGCTGGAGGCGAGATCGAGACTCCGCTCGCTCGCATCACTGTCACTGTCCGTGCCCTCCGTCGCTTCCCCCCCACCCCCGCCACCACCCCCCGCTTTAGAGCTTTCAACCCCTCGGGCTTTCCGTCGACGTCGACTCTCGTCTAAATAATTATAACAAATGGCTTAGGATTAGTACAGTAACTAACACGTCAGTTTATACAAACGTGATTTAAAACGTAAATTCTTTAAGTGTAGAAAATCTGACGTATTGTGGTAAACTGACGTGCAGTCGTGTGTACGCAAAACTATAAAAATACTAGAACCGTACAGAAAAAAATATTTATTTTTATTGTAAAGGTACATAATAACGCTAGCTTTCCGCCAGTGGTCTTGTATTATACTTAAAAACCTTCGTTTTGAATCATCCTATTTATGAAAAAAAAATCGCATCAAATGCGTTACGTAGTTTTAAAGATTTAAGCTTACATAGGAATATAGGGACAGAGAAAGAAACATTATTTTATACTATGTAGTGATGATTAACTAAGTACATATTTCATTTGTAATACTAAGCATATATTTTATACTATGTAGTGATGATAATACTAAGTAACGTACAAGAAGACATTTAAAAAAGTTGATTTAAAGACTGCATAATTTTAACCTTAACACTTATCCTTAATTAGGCATGTGAACTCACCATCTTTTCTCGTATTCAAAGACGAATCGAACCCTCTGAGGTAAGCCGGCATATCGCTCGCGCTCGTGTTATAGTTAGATGTCGATGTACTAGTGTGCCTTAGCTGGCCGTCACTGCGACTAGATAAATAAATAATATATTTTTTAATAAAATTAAAAATAACTTATTGACCAATTAAACGATAGCAAGTTGAGGACCTTCGTGAGCGGTTTCAATGTGTTATCGGGTGGGTTAACATTCATGTTCATGTTCTCGGATGAGTATATATGATAACTGTAACACACGCTTATGTTTCAATGGATAAAATAATAGGACTTATTTAATTTTTTTTTAATTTAAAAGTAAATTTCAACTTTCGGTTTTTTTGCGTTGTACAATTCGCTGAATACTTGGCATCTGGATTAAGTTATAAGACCGAATTCAAGTATGTAGTTAAAGAAGCCGAGTCCCGGGTTTGATTCCCGGTCGGGTCAATATAGAAAATTAACTTTTCTGTATTTTCTCGGGTCTGGGTGTTGTGGTACCTCCGTTGTCTCAAATACTCCTATATACGGGGGCTTTAGCTATTTACCTTGGAATCTGAGCAATGTATGATTTGTTGTTGTGTTTTCAGTACATTTCAGTAGTTATATTTATCTTATGCAATCTTCTTGAATGCGCATATCAATCCATAATATGTACATGTAATTAATATATGTGTGTATTACCTATATGGACTTGAACTGGTCTTAGTAGTTGATCTTGACGTGGTAGACGAAGCGGAAATGCCAATGTTCCTCAACTGGCGTCCTGGTTCCGTACTGCTGTGATACGCTAACGCTGACCTTTTTGTTACAACAAAAAAAAAAAGTAAAAGACCGAGCTTGAGTAAAGCCTGACTTTAATAAGTTAAAATGTTAATTACCTGTTTACTTGTGACAAGTTTTGAGCACTGCTGCTTATTATGATTGAAGTATCAGCTAATGGCACTTTCTTTCCTAAGCACCTCAGAATGGTCCTGTGGAGAATTATTTTTGTTTTAATATCGATATATACCTATTCGGCGGGACATCACTAACGGTGTCATTAATGATAGAAATCCTTATTTTACGATACTTATATTACAATCCTGAAAGAACTTTGTCTGTTCGTCTGTTACACTTCCATCGCCAGTGTATGCTTTGATTATTTTATGCAATGTCAAGTAGGTACCGACGGCTGGGCCCCAGACGTTCTTCTAATATCATTAATCATTATTATCAGTTTATTCTAGTGTCTATCAACTTGAAAGTTTTATTGAAAGCTTTATCATTGATTAATATTTTTTGTTTTTGTGTATGGTTTAATTTCATGCCTGGTACTGTATACAATATATTGGATCTCGAATATGCAGTTTTGGCATTACACAAATTTGAGATTTAAATAAAACTCCCGTCCGAGTGATGTACAAATTATTTCTCAAACAAGTCACAGTTTTTATCGCTAGGAGTACACCATTTCTACATGCGTACAGTTAAACCGTCTATATTCGACACAAAAATACCTCCTCAGTACCAGGCAAACGTCTACTACGGGTTAATGGTTGCAACGCCGATGACGTCAGATTTGCGATACAAATAAACTAAAAGTTAACATTCGAAATCCAAAATCTGTAAAAAAAATATTTTATTTTATTTTTTCAGTAACAAGTATGTCTCAAAATTTATGAACACACGAGGTAAACTAAATCTGATAAATTTAAGCATGGTAAATTTAACACACAAAATATTATCATGTAATAAATTGAATATATGTTGTCAATACAATCAAGAAAAAATCTACTTTTCATTTCGCTACGAACATAAAAACAGACTTTATTATGAGCGAATCAAAGTCAATTATAAACATTCCACTTTGAACTAGTAGCGCCTTGGAAAGCTAATAGGTTCTAAGAAAATTAATGCCAGTAGAAGCTTGGATGTTTAGATTAGCGTCTGTCTTCAATTTTATTTGCGGGGAAATCGTTAGGGGGATAAATATCACTATCCCATGGTATATTTTTAGCTAGGAATATTTAAATCCAGGGCAAACCCTACTTATCTACATATAGCAGAAAATCAAGTTAATACAAAAGGGCAAACTTCTGCTATAAATTTTGAACTTAACCAACAACACAATAAAACTTAAAACCAATTTGAATCAGTTTGACATTTCATATCAACCTGAAATCTAGTCGCCTGTACTATATCGCACATGACGATCAATAAAATATTATCTCAATAATGTTAAAGTTTGCTCAACCAACTAACTAGCAGTGGTTCCTCAACCAAACGTAGCCATCTTGATTTTATACTTTTATTCTGTGTTTTCTTCCGACTGCCTTCATGTGTTTTTTCTCTCTTTCGCTTTTCTCACCATCCAAACTTATACCAATGTTTTTCCACAATTATTTTATTATTTCACTTTTACTACTGTGACTGTGACGAGATTTGTTTATTTCAATAGTGTGTGACGTCATATGCGGGGTAATAGCAGCGTACGACAGACAGCGTTTTTCACGCGGTTTCGGATATTTAAACTTTAACTTAGATTTTTATTGAATAACAAAGTAAATTTCCCCGATACATTAATGTGAACTGCTCATTATGTCATAAATAATTATATAAAATTACTTTTCAAAATTAGTCAAACTAATACTAATTATATTTTAATAAAATCCTGGGCCCAGTAAAAGGGGATGACGGGTGCTGGAGAGCCAGCATAAATTAAAGATCTTGTATCTGAGTCGAACATAATTTGAGAAATTAAAGCCTAACGCTTCGTCCGGTTATCTACATAAATATCGCTGGTGAGACTGAGTGAGCTTTAAGTCGACAATTGGCAAGAGGTTGTAAAGAACAGACAGTGGTGGAGCGCTCTGGTATTGGAGGCCAAGACCCACTGTGGAGGAGTGAACCAAAAACGTAAGTAAGTAAATAATAAAAGAGATCCCTACATGACGGAATAAGGAATAAGTAAGTAAGGAAATAATAAAAGAGATCCTACATGTGAATTACGGATAATCGATGCTCCATTATCATCTATATCGAAAGCAAAAACTAACTAACTAATAAGGAAATCATCGATGTTAACTCATTGATTCACGCAATACCAATGCATTTTATTATGATAATATTAATATCAATTGAAAATAATCTATATTACCAAAACTATCAATGTTTTTGATAGAAAAAAAAAAACTACACAAATATACATATTTTCAAAACCTGACTCTACTCTTAGGATATTGACAAAGAAATAGATTATAAGGTTATTCTTTACAAAATTACTTTGCCGTCAGTCAGTTGATAAAAACTATTGGCTTATGTAATAATTTGTTCTGCTTTAATAAATTTCAACGATTTCACTGTTTTTTTTATGTCTTTGTCAATCATTGAAAATATCATCGATATCAGTTTTCGATAAATATTGACCATCGATGTTGGGTTTTTGATGATTATATCGATGTCTTACTAATATCAACACCATCCCTAGCGTGATTACCTGCGCAGATTATCTCGTGCTCGCACGTTGCACACAACTAGGCCCAATGCCGCGGCGGCAGCGTGGAGGGTGACCGCGGCCCCGAGTATGGCGGTGAGCACGCCGCGCCGTGCGCCCGCCTCGCTGCCCAGCACCAGGGCACTCGCCCAAGCGCCAACTAGTAGCGGAAGGCAGATAACGCTCACTGCCAGCAGCATTCTGTATCGATCGACATCAATGTATTTATTAGAGACTAGCTTCCGCCAGCGGCTTCGCCCGCGTGGTCCCTAGGGAAATGTTTAATGGAAAAAAAAAAATATCTAAAAATCCTATTATCTAAGTCGGCTACACTAAGTTTAATACCCTATCTGTATATCAAAATCCGTTCAGTGGTTTTGGCGTGATTGCCGGACAAACATCCAAACAATCGTGAGGGATGCGTCGAATTGTGTTTTCACCAAATACGTTTTTTCTTTTTTTCTTTATGGGTTAGGGGGCAGACGAGCAGACGGATCATCTGATGGTAAGAGATTACCGTCGCCCATGGACACCTGCAACACCAGCGGGGCTACAAGCATTTGTGGGACGAATGTGATTATAGGGAGGGAAGGGTTGAGGGGTAGAGGGAAGGGAATAGGGAGGGGTTGGGCCTCCGGTACCCTCACTCACACGACGAAACATTACGCAAGCGTTGCTTCACGTCACGTAATATAATACTATTATATTAGGTTTAAACTGTACCGAACCGAACATTCGGTCCAATCAGTCGTTTTACCACTCCATTGTTTTTCCGTGCAAAGTTTAAAAATATGACAATTTAAAGTTAGATCGATTTATTTTATTAGCTTTATTGAACACATTCTTTATGGGATTTTTTGATTATATAACATAAATCTGACTATGAAGGTTTGACTTTTAGTGATATGCCGTATCGTGTAGCCAAGAAAATATAAATACTCGAACCGAACAATTCGGCCGAATATAAACATTGAAAAAGATGCCGAATACCAAACTAATGTTCGGCGCATCTCTTAGTTTTTATATACGTTTCAACTTGGTCAGTCGTGTATTCTACCCTTAAAAGTTTTTGATTTAATTTAATTTTAATACCCGCGTAAACGGAACTATGACGTCATTGGGATATGTACATAAATAGACTATATTATGCAATTTAAAATGTGCCACAAACGAGCACATCGTCATCTAGAAATCTAGAAACCTGCTTTATAATAAATAGCCAGCTGTATAAGTCTAATCTGACTGGTGCATAAATTTTCAATGTTTTCAATCATTTCTCCAAATTTTTTTTTGCTAAAATAATAATACTTTTCCACTTGACTTCCTTCCTGGTTCGGAAGGCCCGTTAAGCCGTTGCTCCCGGCTGCATCAATTCCTGCCACGGGGTATGTTATGGCTAGTGTTGCCAGGTACGATTTGTTTTAAATCGGGACAGAAACTATAATAACTCGTTACGGTTTTAAATCGGGATACACAAAAATTTAGTTTTTAATCAGAAAAAATAATTCATATTACCCGTATGCCATATTTATCACGTCACAGATTCTCAAACACTTCACACGACAAAAAGTACCCACCCTTGCACGTTTTAATTCATTACGTTTTTATATTCCTTTTTTGTTTTATTAGGCATATATCTGTGGACTGGAGGAACGAATATCGATTGAATTCTATATTAAGTAAAGTCATCGATTTTGATTAAATGTCCCGATCAGGTGCAAATCAGGACGCGTCTCTAACTCCTAAAAATCGGGACATCTGGCAACGCTAGTCATGGCCCATTCTGCCTAATCGATTCCGTATATAGGGAATGTCTGTGTCCAGCAATGGGGACATCGATAGACCGACGATGATGGTATTACCTTAGATTACCGAAGCCGACGACGTGATCGCGCGCCGTGAACGCGGCGGCGGTGGCGGCGGCGAGACACGCGAGCGCTGCCAGAGCGTACACGCCCGCCGGCACCACCACCCACCACACCACGCCCTCGTGGCAACTCACCCAACAACTGAACGCGGGACACAACAATTTATAATAATCATTATTTATTTATTTCATATTCCGTATGACGAATGCGGCGCAAGCGTCAACGTGCAACCGGCCGTACGGAAAGGCATCGCGATGCCATTTAGCGGGATTAGCGAATTAAGTCAATGAGGAAGTATTTTAAGAAAAAAAGGAAGCACTAAAAAACACCTCACTAAATGGCGACTTAAGCAAAAGTGGATTTTTGGTGGAAACAGATATAGCCATTTCCGTTCCTTTTAACTAACATATAAAAAACTGTAATTTGCAAAGTTTCATACTTAGATATCAATACAAATACGAAAAAGCGCAATAGAATATGAATCGTTTATTGAGTTTTGAAAATTAATTTACTTTTATACATGAAAGAAAACCGAAAGGGTTGTTACGGTGAAATCAAGAAAGCACCGTAGCGACATCTAGTATGATTTCGGGAACTAAAGCTTTTTTAAATACTTTCTCATTGCATGAATTTCGCTCTTACGAAAGTAGCTGGGTATACATTTATTGTGCATTTATGTTTGAACAGATATTTTTTTTATAACTAAATGTATATTTTGTAATTATGTATGTTTTTGATATAATGAGTTTTATGATACAATTGGCGGTACTGTAATGAGTTTTATTTTTACTTCGCAGTTCGCCCGATGAATGTAGAGGCAAATCGCTCGGTGCGAGTTCGGAATCTCCACAGTAAAGCGGTGACGTTTCCCAGTACCCCTGGTTGTAAGATAGTGGAAAGGGGACGACGGAATTAGGTCATGTAGTTCCGATGCACATATCCAATAAAAGGACATAAAGAAATCGGTACTGACAACAGCGCGTTCCCGTACTGGTGCTGATGCGTGGAGGCGGCCAGCGCGAGCGCGACGGCGGGCGCGGCGTAGGCGGCGGCGAGGTGCGCGCGCAGCCCGCCGTGGTTCACGTCGCGCAGCTCGCGCACCAGCCGCCGCAGGTGCCACGCGTCGCATGCCGCCCACGCCACCGCGCACACCCACCAGTAGTGCAGCGACATCGCCACCACCTTGCACCCGAACTGTACCGCACACGTACATACATATAATAATAATTCTTTATTTTAACAAAGCGATAAGGATACATTTTATGAGCACCCTGACATCTGAGGTAGGTATATAAAACCTGAGTTTCCTCTACCATCTTAGAAAACATATTAATCCACATGTTATAGATTATGAACAATTATAAGAAAAAAAATAAAAATAAAATAAAGAGAAAATTAAAATTATGGAAACAAAAAACAAAAAAGTGTGTGTGTGCGTGCGTGCATGTGCGTGTGTGTGTGTGTTTGTGTGTATAAAAATTTTGTATGTTATTATATTGAGACAATTTTAAATATTGACGATCTGTTTTGAGGGAGATAAAGGAAATAGCTCATATATAACTAGGCTATTCTACTGTGTTTAAAATAATGCTTGTAAATGATAATTAAAATTTTAAAAAGTAAAAAAAGGTATTTCGGGAAAATGAACGCGTTTTAGGCTGGCTGTATAAACACGTTTTCCGTATTCGATTTCCTAATGCGGAATTTCGATTTTGTTTTTCTTTATTCGGAATGTATACATGGCAGTACAGGTAGTGATAGCTTGGTGAACGCACGACGATGGAGGCCGACGATTTATGAGCAATTGCATTTCTGTTAACAACAAAGAAGAAAAAGAAACGTCGGTATTGGATACATCTATTGAATACTCGGAGAATCTACGACAGTCCTTTTTATCTGAAGAGAGCTAAGTTACAAGCACATCCAGATAAATTCTTTGATTTGTACAGGATGTCAATAAATTCTTTCGACGAACTTCATAATTGCATACGTGATAAATTAATAAAGCAAAATACCTGCATGATTGCATTCGAAACGTACGTACGGAATTTATTCCGTTTGGAAAATAAGCGAGCAAGTGCGTCAGTTAATGTATTCTCTACTGAATCCATGCATTGGAATGTCCGAATACGGAAATCGAAGACGAAAACGTATGTATGCGGCCAGCCTTAATGCCTTAAAATTGAATAAAAATAAAACATTTATGCCCGCGAAAACGATGTCCGTCATATTCATAACGTAATGAGAAAGTATTAAAAAAAAACATTAGTTCTCGAAATAAAACTAGATGTCAATGCAACCCTTCCGGTTTTCTTTTATGTATAAAAGTAAATTAATTTTCAAAACTCAACAAACAAGTCGTCATCTAGTGAGGTACATTTTTAGTTCTTCTGTTTTTTAAATACTTTCTCATTGTGGTATGTACACAAAACCTTAACTCTATGCACAAAACAGAGGCATAGAGTAGAGACTAAAAGATGTCAGTAAAACAAGAACAATGCCACCTAACGATCGATTACGAAATAAAAACATATAAATCAGCTAAGAACAGCGCCACCTAAGAATTTGATTCATAATTAATAGGTATATCTTTTCACTAATCTGACAGTTGTAGCTACAGTGAAGTCACACCATGGCGGGACGTGTTTAAAGTCACGTGACACACAGACCAAAAATCACGACATTAATTTTGAAATAGTAAGACAATCGTGTTATTTTAAGAGTCTTAATCAGAGTTTCTATGTTTATTACGATGTAAATTTTAGTTTTTGTGCAATTTCGTGACTTATTTTTCACTACCTTAACTACCTTAATCAGGCCCTCCTGTACTTCCGTTTACGTTCCCATACAAATACGTATCAAGAGTGGAGACGCACTCGCTTGATTTCAATACATTTTTTATCAAATTTTTTTTTTGGTACATCGAAACCGATTTTTGTATGTATTGTTTATACATTAATGATGAAATTTATTAATCGTAAAATCAATCCAAAAAAACTATTTATATATTATTAAGTATATCTTCGCGTTTTTTTTGTATTGAGACAATTATTGAAATTTATGTTTCTGTAAATACCTTTGCAAAGCGCAACCGTTCAGATAAGTATTCTACATAACACTGTCGCTGAGACTGTTACATTGCGTTTGTGTTTTACTTAGGTATTTAAAATGTACTTTAAATTTACTTCTTCTAAAGATATTATAGTACATAAATATTTTCGAATAGGATTAAAACTAATATTCAGTACACGAATCACTACAAATAACAAATCTAAATAACTTATTTTTCTTTTAATATGTTCTTATATGTTAAAAGACTAAAAAAACTCACCTCATTTTGCACCAAGGAGTTTCTGGCCTTCAATGCAATAAGGTACAGCAACTCGGCCATAAACACGCTGAATATCAGATGTTTGTGTATAGAGTTGGAGACGGTCGCTGCCCCTCCCCGCATCAGACAGAGAGCCGCCCACGTGATCAGTAACAAGGGCAGCGAGATGCTGAACGCGGTGTATGACGATACTGATTCCAGGAGAGACGGCTCCGGGATAAACTGATTATGGAGGGAAACTCTTATAAGGACGGATGTTGAAAATATATGGACAAGTAGTAGTTTTTATGCAAGAAAGTAACACAGCATTTATCCTTATAAAACAAAT